GCGCCGCGGCGGCGACGGCAGCGGGGGAAGGTGCCGCGCGCACTGACGCTCTTTTGTCTGATAACTAATTCGAGTTAATGCGATCTTTATGTAAAGCTAACAGCGGATAATTGTCTATTTTCTCGCCAACAATCTCCATCACAATCACTTATCTGGAAACCTGCGGCTGTATTAATCGTTATATTCCCTAAGATAAGCGTCGCTACAATCCGCCCGGGGCCTGGGGGTGGGGGGCACGGGAACGCCACGCCCGGGCGCTCGGACTGCCCCGGGCGCGGGTGGGGATGCGGGGGTGGGGGTCAGCCCCGCCTGGGGCGGGAAAGAAGCGGAGGCACCCGCCGGGCTGCAACAGGGTGTGTGCCCCCGAGGCGGTGAGACTGATCGAGCGACAGGTCCGCCTGGGGCTGCTTTTCAAAATGATTGTGGTTGCTTCCTCCCGTGGGTGGTGGGTGAGGGGTGGGCGGGGAGGGTGGGGGCTGTGCGGGGGCGGGCGCCGCTCGGGGTGCGAGCTGCGTCTGCGGAGGTCCTCCCTCGGCACTCAGCTGCGCGGCCTACGACTCCACGTGCGGCCGAGGCAATGTCAAAAGCGGATTTAAAGGTGTTCGTGTCCCCTACGGGAAGTGTTGCCCCCTCTCTAACACAGCTCTGCAGAAAAATGTCTCCCTCCCATCTTTGCGTTCCTTTAACTTCCATCTCCTGTCCTACCCACCTGGCCCCCGCCTTAAGCCCCTCCCCGCGTAGACCCCCGCCCGCAGGGTCCCCTGATCTGCAAATTATTGGCAATATTTACACAAACCATGATTGAAATTCCCGAGAGAGCAAACACATGGGTTGTGGAAATCTGTTCCAGACTCCAATCCCCATCAGCGCGTTTACTGCTAGGTGTGAAGAAAGGAGAGCAAATGGTATTGAAACCTCTCTGGGGGGAAAGTACTTGTATTACAAAGATTTTGTCTTTTTGAGCGGAAGTCAAAACATCAGTGTCAAATGAAAATCATATTGGTGATGGTGGTGCGTGTGTTACTACTTCAGTGTGATGAGCGGAAGACGATTTGTTTCTCAAACTAAGTGCTGCGTTTGGCTGGTAACTTGGAAGCAACCCACCGGGATTCCATTTACTTCTAACACTTGGATTTGCCACCCAAAGGATCACCGTGGCAAAATTTCAAACTGGTGTTTCTGGAAAATCTCTAATTCAGAATCCATTCAGTGACGCAGCTTTTGGCCAACTGAGCGTGTGAGACCCCGCCCCTTCCCGACTAGATATTTCTAAGTGAAAGAATACAACGAAATGAAATGCCCGTTGTGGGGCTTATATGTAAAAGAGGCTCTAAGTTACTCTCCAAGTAGGACATTGTAAATTCTCTTATAAAATCCGTTAAGTTAAATGATTTAAAAAAAGTAAAACCCGTAAGCTCTGAATTTTTTCCACAACTGATAGAGCTCTTTAAAAGCAAACAAGTAAACCAACCGTCAAAAGTTAACAAACGGAAGTTGTTGTTGTTGTGGGTGTGTGTTTTAAGTTCCCAGGGTTTTTCTTTCTTTTTTTTTTTCTTTTTTTTCCTGGTGGTATTTGAGAATCATCCCACTCCATCTCTCACCTGAATCTTGTCATTTCTGCCATCTTGAAGTGATCTGGGAACAATACTAGTCCCTTGGTCAGACCAGGCTGGTCAATCAGGCAGAACAGACTATGCAAATGGAATAGAGAGGCGAAGAGCCGAGAACACAGGCGCCCATTGTCTCGGGCATTTCAAAGCGCAGAGCAGCTGCAGCCGACTTGTCGCCCCGGACCTTCGGTTGCCACACTAATGTCATCATTGCAAAACATCAGATTTTGAAAACTATACAATCTGAATTCATTAGCAGCCTCTTCTGCGGAGATTTCTCTTTTCTGTGACAAGTTTCAAAGTCCAGCTCTCCTCTGTTGATAGGTGCTGGGAAAAGGAGGTGGGGGTGTGGAGGGTGTCTGGGCTTGGGTTGTGTGTGTTCTTGGGCCCAGGGAGAGTTTTGCAAATGACCACAGTTGATCAATCCATAATTTCCTCTTTCTGGTGCATTCACCGACATTAAAAGGTCCTAGAATTGCTGCGTGCCAACGCCTGACTCAAAGACCTTGAGCTTTCCAAGATTTCCCCATTTGCTTCCTGTTAACGGAGAAAACGTTGTGTTTCGTGGTGGAGAACAGTTTTACTGTAACCGGTTCCTCCAAAGTGTTGCTAGCCAGTTTAAATTCATGGAAAGCAGTCAAGGTTGCAAGCAGAGTGAAGGTATCAAAGATACCGCTGTATGCTGTTTGAATGCTAGCACCCAGTAGGTGACTGTTGTTGATGGTTTTTTGTTGTTTTGTTTAGTGGAACTCAAAGCAATATCCCTTAGAACCATTGTACCCCAGTAAGACAAATAAATTAGTTAAGACAACACTATTCTGCAACATGGTTACATGCAGTTTGTAAACTTTGAATGCCTAAAGGGAAATTTGCCTTAATTATTATTATTTTGTAACTGCCTTTTCTAACAGTTGTTGAGAGTTCAAATTGCATATTCCTTTCTATAGCCCTGCCCATCTTCATTCCCCCCACCCCCCACCCCCAATCTCCGGGTGACTTTGTTTCTCTAGAAACTGCAAAAAGACTGGCCCAGGAGCATGAAATTGCCTGTATGCAGCTGCTGCCCCTGGTGTTGCCGGTTGGGTCCTCAAACTGGTGAACCAGTAAAACTCTGGGTGAGTCTGTGGAGCAGTCTGGGCATTTTGGTGGCCCTGGTTGGCACTGGTGCCTCAGGAACATGCAGTCCCAATCCTGTTTTAAGGGAACCAGGGGTCTAGCTTTGCCTCACCAGATGTCTATGAAGCCCAAGGGTGTTCTGTCAACAGAGGCCTGGACACACTGGAGCAGCTATTCTTATCTAATAAGCTTGCTTCCTTCTCTGGGCTCATCTATCTGGTTTAACATTGTCCTTCTAAATCCTCACAGGATTCCGTGTCCCTTCTCCTCTCCCAACCTCACCTAAATGCTGGGAAGACTTCCTAGGAAAAGGTATCCTTTCTGTATGCGGAGAAAGTTGGTGGCCAGTTGGTGACCCTGAGCAGAGGAGAAGAAAGCAGCTCAGTGTCCCTCATCACAGCTTGGGCTGCCAGCTGCCTTCCTGGTTTTCCACAGACGGAAGGGCTGGGACTTGAAGACCATAACAAAATCACAGGTCGGATTTCTGGAAGTAGAAGCAGGAGAACAGGGGCATACATAAATGGAGAAAAGGCCCCAGAGTGTGTCTTGTTTGGTTGGGAGGCAGGGATTGGAGGCTGGTGATCGTAACTCCAGGAGAAACTGTAGGCGGACTCTCAGTATAGACACCTTTGGGGAATTGAACCAGAGCATCCCTTCCCCCCTCAGAACATTGTATGACTTGGGGCTCATGGTTCAAGATCAATCCCATGTCACTTTAAGTTGGAGTCTTTATATCTTTGATCTCATGACTAGCAGGAGCTCTTTGAGGTCATTGCACCAGCATTTTTGATGTGCCCACTCGGCTCCGGTGAAGCAGGTCTTGCCCTGCCTTATTTGCCTCATAAGGTACCATGTGCCACCAGCAATGGCCTGGGGCAGGGGCAGAAGGAGATCATGAAATAGGGTTGGGGGAGGGGGAGTGCAGGGGAGGAGTGGGCTGTTGCAGAGGATAATGGAAACTCCCATGGGGATGGAGTTTCTACCACTTGGGCTCATCCATGTCTCTGAACCCGTGACCTAGGTTTTCAAGGGTCTTTGCAGAAGGAATGACGAGGCTCTCACCTCGTTGACCTCTGAGAATGGTGAGGTGCCAGGCTAGGCCTCTCCGCCACACAGAGGGGCTTTCCAGTGTTCCCCGTCTAGCTTACTCTGCCTCTGGCCCAGTTCCAGCCCCCTGGATGCTCTTTCCTCCTTCCTCCTCACATGCACATTCACTCTCCATGTGCCACACACATTCTTAGACACACCGATAGCTATACACTCACAAGCTGGCACCAATATCCAGTATCTGTCAAACTGAAGACACACGCTCTGAAGAGTCTCACTCGCAGTCCCCCCTGTGACACAGTGACATACCCATTCACTTTCACATGATTCAGACATGTCAACCCCCCCGCCCCCCTCGCTCAGGCTTACAGCCATGTTATAATCTCCTGGGGTCTACCTTGGGAAAAGGCCGGACGAATCTCAAGGTGGTTTGTGGTGACCAGGATGCCTTACTTCTCATGGGAGCAAAAACCACGTAGCTGATCTTCCCTCCTCCCAACACACCCACAGGGATGAGTGAGTAAGTCCCTGGGGACGAGGGAGGCCAGTGGTGGGTAAGGCTCTGTCCACGCCGCTGATTTTTCAGTCAGATTGCTACTTCGGGTGCTAGAATAAGCCCCTGTCACTGCTTTATTTTGAATACATCGAGACATACACTTTCTCCCAGTCTTTTTCTTTGGTTCCCTTGAGTGCGACTTAGATTTGCATTGTTTAATAGAGTAGTGACTAGTCATGTTAAAGAGCAGCCACGGTGATTATGCGTTGAGGTGCTAACTGCAAGGTTAGGAGTTCAAAACCCCCAGCTGAGAAACAGGACGTTTTCTACTCCTATGAAGAAAGGTAGTCTCAGGAAACCCACAGGGGCAGTGCTACCCTGTCTTCTAGGATTTCTAGAAGTCAGAATTGACTCTATGTCAGTGCGTTTGGGTTTCTTTTGTTTGTTTTTGAGTCACATTGAAAATGTGGCCACTCTGACTTGAAATGTGCTGCGACGGCCAGCTACACATGGGATTTTCAAGTCTTAGTAAACACACACACACAGCAAGTAAAAATGCCTCATTAATAAATGTTTCCTATCAGTTACAAGTGGGAATGATTGTATTTCAGATAGATTGGATTAAATGAAAGTGCATTATAAAAATTAATCTCACGTGCTTCTTTTTATTTTTTAATGCAGCTGTCAGGACGCATCAGACTTCTGTTGGACAGGCTCCGAGTTTCTCACCGATCCTCGGGAAAAGGAACATATGAAACGGAGAAAAGGGTTCAGTATGCGATGTAGCAGGGAGCCAATGCAAAACCAACCTGTTCTAAAGCTGCTTTTGTCCTGTAATATATTATCCAAGCTGCTTTTCTTTCATGAGAATGCATGGTGGGGAGAGGGGTATTGCACATTGTATTTTACTGCATGATTCACTTTCTTTCCATTTTAACTTTAATTCCATCTAATTACTGTATTGTGATCTCAGTCAGCAATAGTAAATGAACGCTCAAGTAACTTTTGAAGAATCTTGCTACGAATGTTGGATAATGATGAAATGCAAATTGCTACAGGTTATATTGTATAATGTCTACCGTGTATTCAAGCAGTTTTCTTGTAATTTTCAAATTTCAGGTCACCGTTTTGCTATTTTCTTGCTTTATTTTTTCCCCCCACCTACAATGTATTAACGCCACCACCCAGCTCCACTGTGACCCAAAACAAAATAAGCTTGAGCAAGAATCTGTACCCAGTGAAAATGCTGCCTAGTTATCAAGAATGGAATTCCTTCTGTTTGATTTTTAATCCTATGATTGACTCACAGCCTAAAAAAAAAATCGGTGAAGTTGCAGTTTGGTCAAAGCATGTAAGAACACTTGGCTGCATTTTGAACTCGTTTTGATGAAGTATTTGAAAGTACCCTATAGTAACCTTTTGTATACAAGACTTCGACACCTGCATTCATGGAAATTGTCTTTGGCCTTTTGACAAGGGCGACAGAGAAGAGATTGCTCTGAAGAGCAGTGTTTTAATAAATTCAGTACAATGGCAACATACAAATATTGCAAGCATACATGTTCTATATACACACATTCTATTTTTTCTAAATCTACTTTGAGGACTATATAATTAGTTAAGGAACAATTCAACAATAATGTGGGGTATTAAGAATGAAAATTAAGCTCTATAGTTAAATTATCCATCAAACATGGAAATTATCAATATGCAATTGGAACACTTGGTAGGATCTCAAAAAGGATAGGGCACAGAGAGATGGGTTTGTGGAGTTTTACTTGGCACCTTTGGTGAAAATGTATGGGAGTGTTGAAAATGCCTCACAGGAAATTTTAAGTAAAATTAAAAATTTTTTCTTTTAACATAAAAGGACCTGTCTTGTTGCACATTATTAATATGTTGAGGCACTGTACTAGTTTGGATCCATTACACTACAGGAAAAAGAAAATGTTGTAAAATACCAAGAATGATTAACTTTTGGTGGGTAAACTGATGGAAATGACCGATTCTTTGGATTATGTCCTTGAAAAGTACTATTTGAGACTTCTGTTCAAAGAAGAGAAAATAATAAAAACAATATTTATTCTTTAACCAAGCTGCTTATTTATTGGAATCCTTGTCAAGCAAATAATGAGCATTTTAGCCTGTATCTTGCAGAAGCCTCACCACCAGCCCATTAGAAGCCCAAGCCATCCCTCTTTGGATGGGTAGCTAGACATACTTCTTAATATGACACTGCTGATTGTTTTATAGGGACTCACGTTTGCTCTCGGTAAACTTACTAACTGTAATTACTGCCCAACACTGCGTGGGTGCTTTTTCAGAATCATCTAAGAGTAAAATGGTGAAAAATGGCAAACAAGTGCAGAGAGGGTACTCTTGGAAGCACCAGGGCATGCCACCAAGGCTGGCAACAGGAAAAATCCCTACAGCAGTACAGTTCCCAATTAACTCGCGCTTCTACTTACTTAATGTATGCACTGCATGGCCTCATTTGCTTCATCTTATAAAACTAGAGAGGCTCTCATTTGCTTTCTTTCACCCTAAAACTACAATGGTTGTCATTTTCAAATATTCACAGATAAGATATTCTGGATAAATAATCTAAGACTCACTGAATTAGGTCAGTGTTCATACAGGGCCAGTGTGATATGTCCCGTGTGTTGAAATTATCTGGTGTCAGCTACATTGATTGAAAAACCACCACAGACTTAAGAGAGAGAGAGAGAGAAACAGTTTTATTACAAGATGTCTCCAAAGCAGATAAGAAAGCAAGGAAGTCCTATCATAAACGAGGGACCTTATCAAGATTTTAATATGATGGTAAGCAAATTATACATGCTTTGCAAGTTAGACAATCCTTCGGGGCAAGCAGATGTTTCTAAAGTTTCTATAATTCCAAGCAAGTGACTTCAGTTTGTAAAACCATCCATAGTTGGCTGGTTCTTTGTTCTTTTCCACAAGAAAGTTTCCTCCGAAAGGCAAACATAGGAGGGGACTTTAGAAAATCTGTGGGGAAATTCCGTCACCTTTTCATTCAATTTTTTTTTCCATGGATTTTTTGAGACTCCCCCATTGTACCCCCATCAAGACTCAGAATAAATTGCCTGCACTATTTAACTCATGATAGAACGAGAAGCTTTAAAGAGATGGTTATTGTATGAAGACAACTCCATGCTGCTTATAGGAGATGCCTGACTTCATGCATTGTTGTCTTGTTTCTGAAACATGCTATGGATACTGATGAAATTATTTTTAAAAGCACTAATGTATCGAGGTTGATGAAGAAGCCTCTTAAGAGTCTCATATAAAGACTATTTGGGGACGTCAGTCCCATCAGCATTTATTTTCACTAGCTAGCCCAGTTAGTAATTGTATGGATGAATAAGTGATTTATTTGTCTGTTCATTGTGACTAGTAACCTTTTATCAGTCAACATTCTGTCATTTCTTCACATTATTATCAACTACTTATTAGCACAAGAGTTGTTTAATAAAGTGTTAATAATTGTAATCTGCAGCATGGCTATTAATGAATATATCTCAAAAAAATATGATCCAGACTAGTCAAGCAACTGCTGACCAGAACACACTATACTTAATACGTATTTCTGGATGGGATGATTTTGATAACTCCTATCTCCAGGTTGAACTTTCATTTCTAATGAAAATGCACTGGCTCAGACAGGCAATAAAATGTAACAAAATAAAATGAAGGAGAAAACCCAACAGCCTGAAACGGAAAATTCCTGATTGCATTTTAATAGGAAAGTGAACACTTTGCAGAAGAACATTGCAGTAGTTCAAATATTTCAGTGCGCAACAGCTGTGGGGAGATACGAACTCTGGAGAAACAGCTGCCAAAACAAAAATAGAAAAGCAAAAGAAATCAGAGGCTGAGGTCTGGAATAAGGAATTTTAAAAGATATATTAAATATGAAAATTTTCGCATGAACATGACAGCTCCAGCCATGATCCTTGGCTTCTTATTGACATCGGGAGCAGCCTGACGCCTGCTTCGGTCAGAGTCCGGCAGGTCAGTGTCTTTAAAAAACCTCACCTTTTCACTTTGGCAACCTGTTTACTTCTGCTGCGTGTGCTTAGGTCCCAGATGGCAGGCTAACTCACATTAATGGGAAGATGTAAATCCTTAGGAGTCTGGGGCTCCTAACCTTTCTTCCTTCTTTCTCGGACCTCAGAAACGTTCATCTGCATCACAGTGATTCGACCTTAGCATTTTGAGGATTGCCTCATGAGCAGAGGCGGCAGAGAGCCTCCAAAAATATATTTGTTGTTTTAAATCATAGACCCACTTTCCATTCAAAGGGCTTCGATCCCTTTTGCACTCGACATTTGTTTGGGCTTTCGTAAACGATCTTGCCATGTTCTACCTGGGCCATTGCCTGCACCCCAACCACATTTGTGTGCAAGAAACCCAGAACCAGAAAGCCAGGTTTGGAGCGCGTCTTTCCTCAAGCCCCTCAGCTCTTCTGTTAGAACCCATGTCTGCTTTGGAAGAAAAATTAAGCCCTTCCTCCCGTCTTTTGTGTGTGTGGGGAGAGTAAGAATGGGACTCCCACCCCCACCCCCAGGCCCTCTGAATCTGAGCCAGGTTCAATATTTATGAATATGTAATGACTTTTAAAATTTGTAATTTGTGTACTTCCCTTTTAAGAAGGAAAAGAGAGAAGAAAGAGAGGGAAGGATCCTAAAAGGAACTGTGAAAAATTTCTAAACATACTCTTCTTTCTAACCTAAAAATAAATAAATAAGTAGTTGATATCTTCCCTGGGGCTTATTCATAAAATATAACAACAATCTATATTCCTCTTGATAAGAAAGAACACTACAGCGTGAGAATTCAATTTAAGTAACTAAATTTGCTAACTATTATTTTCCATGTACCAGATACAAAAAGGAAAAAGAAAAGATACTGGTTGTGATGGGTGCTCTCAAGAAATTCACAGTCTTGTAGGAAACAGTTGAACACCATTTAGCGTCCCAATGGCGATAGCAGAGACGCAGTGTGATCTCTAAGGAGGAAGTGGCCTCCGTGCCTGGTAAGATCAGAGAGAGCTTCACAGGGATCTCAGGATACCTTTTTCAAGGTGAAAGGGAAAGGTGGTCTAGAAGCATTTACAAAGCCACCAAACTCCAAACCAAACTCACTGCCACTGAGTCAATTCCCACTCACGGTGACCCTACAGGACAGGGTAGAACGACCCCTGGGGGTTTTAGTCTTTAGGAGACTAAAAAGCCTCATCTTTCTCCCATGGACCAACCGGTAGTTTTGAACTACTAGCCTTGCAATTACCAGGCCAACACATAACCCCTAAGCAACTACCAGGATTTCTCTAAAAAGACACAGAGGTATGGAATAAGAAGTCATGGCCCTGTAGGATGCAAAGGTTTTTATTTTACTTATTATCTTTAAGGCTAGAGGCTTAACACACACACACACACCCTCCACCCCACACACACACACACACACACTGGGCCCACAGAAGACAAAAGCTGGAGATCTTCCGTCTAGATCATCAAAGAGCCAAACCAAACCTACTGCCATGGAGCCAATTTCAACTCCAAGCAAACCTATAGGATAGAGTCGATCTGCTTCCTAGGTCTTCTGAGGCTCTAGAGCAGTGGTTCTCAACCTTCCTAATGCCGTGACTCTTTCATACAGTTCCTCATGTGGTGGTGACCCCCCAACCGTAACATGATTTTTGCTGTTACTTCATAACTGTAATTTTACTACAATTATGAATCGGGCAACCCTGTGAAAGGGTCGTTTGACCCCCAAAGGGGTTGCGACCCCCAGGTTGAGAACTGCTGCTACAGATCTTTATGGGAACAGCAAGCCTCATCTTTCTCCTGCAGAGTAGCTGGTAGATTTGAACTGCTGACCTTGATGCTAGCAGTCCAACACATACCCTATAGCACCCCAGGACTCCTTCTCATATAGATTACAGCCAAGAAAACCCTATGGATCAATTCAACTCTGTAACTCACGGGGTCACAGTGAGTTGGAATCAACTTGAACGCAATGGTCTTGGTTTGAGTCTAAGAAGGTGCAAGTAGTATATGAGTATCGTATGCCAAGGGACAAATTTATAGGCAATAAACCCTTTAGTAATGGTGGAAAGAAAAAGTATCAGAGGCAGTCTGGGAACATTTCCCAGAAGGAGATGGAATTTGTTCAGTCTTAAGACAAAAGTGGTTCTTAGACAGCCCAAATGGAGGTTAGCAGAACCTCTCAGATGAGGGAGTAAAATGAAGTGGAGATGCTTGCAGTTTATTTGGTAAGGGTCATACTTTAGGTTGGCTGTGGAACTGAAGATTTAATATGTGATATCTCTCTCTCTCTCTCTCTCTGCCATTGAGTCCATGTTGACTCATAGTGACCCTATAGGGCTGGGTAGAACTACCCCTGTGAATTTCCAAGACTAATTCTCTAGAGGAGTAGAAAGCCAAGTTTTTTTCTGGTGGAGTCGCTGGTAGTTTCAAATTACTTACCTTGAGGTTCTCAGCCAAACTCATAAGCCACTACAATACCAGGGTGCCTGGAGTCTGTGGACAGAAATAACAATTTGTGGGAAAGAGATTATGGCCAAGCAATGGCATTGGACGGCAGGTTACTGAATATAGATCTCCTTTTGACAAGGAGAATCCACTGAAGATTTTGAGCAGGAAGGAAGAGATCCAAGTGGTTTGCATTATCTTGCAATTGGAAGCCCTAGTGGCGTAGTAGTTACATGTTCGAAACCACCAGCTGCTCTGAGGGAGAAAGACAGGACTTATTACTCCCATCAGCATTTACAGTCTTGGAAACCCATGGCGTATGTGTGTGTGTGTGTGTGTGTGTGTGTGACTCTGTGTCTGTATGGACTGGAGGGCAGTGACTTTGTCTCGCTTTCTTTTTTGTTTTTGTTTGGTCTGTAACCAGAGTGTAGAAGGCTTTGATTGGCAAGTAGAGATATCTCACTATTAAGATAGCTATAAATGGACTGAGGTAGTTAGTTTATTGTGCCAATCTGGCTGATAAACACATGTGGAGTTAATTGAAGGGCGGAGGGATAAATGGCTCTGTAAGCC